AGATGCTTTTAATTGTGACTTATCAACTAGGTTCATCACTGAGCAACATTGTTTTTTGAATAATATTGTTGGCAATTTTATGAGTTTTAAGAGGTGACCCTGCATACACAGCAAGTCACTCTTCCTTTTTTTCTAGCTTGAAAGTTTTCCATCCCAATAAATTTATAAAAATTTAGGTGGAACCCAAGTTTCTTCAATTAATTTAGCTTCTTCTGTGAGCTGATCCTGCTCTATTAACTGATGTTTTGGAAAGTGTAATATCATTTAAAGCTGCTCCTCCTACTGCTAAATCTTTAACAAAATAAGCAGTTGTTGCCTTTTACTAATACTAGATCTATCAGCAACTGCAGACATTTCTTTTAACAGTTCTTAAAAAATTCAGCTATTTCGCAGATTTGCAATGATGGTTTTTTTTTCTCTTCTTTTCATCTTTTTCTGCAATATCTGAAAAAAATTTGGCGCCCTCATTGACTTCTATATCATCAAACATAGTTGAGTAAAATTCAAGGTTTTTGAGTTGCTGATTCTTAATATGAAACAATTTTTTTTTTGTCTTTTGTTGTAGTTTAACATTGTTGCTCTTTTTCAGCATGGATTTTATCTACTCCAGTTGTTGAGCTGTAAGTGGCTGCAGCTCCAGTTGTTGAGCTGTAAGTGGCTGTATGTGATATATCAATTAGACTGTCCAGTTTCAATGTAAAAAAGTTTTTTGCTTTACTTTTCTTTTTTGTCTTCTATTTTTAATGATTTAAACAAGAAACGTTTTTTAGCGGCAATATTTTTGTTTATAGCAATAGCTGAAATATGTAGTAGATCTAATATATACATTATTTCCGAGACTTTTACTAGGTCTATCGATCTTTTTTGGGATGAAAGCCATGGCTGTTGTTTAATACAAGACTGATGCTTATAATACAAATACTTTTAGTAACTATACATTTAGATATAAACTTTTTAACAATAAAAAGATATAGAAAAAGGTTCATTATTAACTTTATAAATTAAACTGTAGCAACTTATACATATTAATGTTGCAGTATGTTTTTGAAAACTATTTTTGCCTCAAGAAATTTAAGAACATAAGACTTAATGACTTCCTTAAATGCAATTTCGCAATATTTAATGCAGTATTAAAGGTACAAAAGTATTGAGATTAGAATGCTTGAAAAGTATTGGAATGAGAGTAATTAAATATATTTATGTTATGCAACACTTGTGGTGTCTTTAAACAAATCTCTTGTGGGATAAGTACTAGTAGTTTTAAACTAATAAAGTTTTGTAAAATTATCCCTTAATGATTAACAACTAAATTGTGTGAACCCCACTAAGAAACAATTAGTAGGTAAAAACAATGCACAACACTTGCGCAATTTGTTACTCAAACTTTCAATATTTGTGGGGGATCTAAAAATCATCCTAAATTCAAGATTTTTGGTATTTAGCGTTTTTAGATCAAATGTTATCAGTGGTAAAAAACCCTGTTAAAATTTCAAAAAAAAAAATTAACATTGACCACTCGAATTGAAAACCTTGTGAATGCGATCCAAATTTAAGAATTCCACAAAAAGAGCTTATTTCAATAAAAACCTAGCAAGAAAAATAAGGCAGTGTTTCATCTATGCAATAATTTTGTTTGGATATTAAAGAGACTGCTAAACTTAGGTTCAAAAACTTATGTATGTTAATTGATTAAGGAAGACTCAAGCAACAACAAGAAGAAGCTTCAAAAAAGTTAGAATCATTGGTAACATTTTATCTGTTCACTTTAAGACTTGATGCTAAAAATATGTTGTAAAAAAATGAATAATATTATGGTGAGTGATTGTGAAGAAATCTCAACAATAGAAAAACAAGAGAATTATGTTAAGTAAAACTACCTAGATTTTAATAATATTGCCATTGCCTAATTTCTTGTGTCATTGACTGCTACTGCTGATATTATTAATGGTATAGTAAAAGATATTATAAAGGCAGAAAAATCTATTGAAGATAAAAAAAATCTCATGTGTAGCATAAAAGTTTTTGTACAAAAGAGCATACTATCAGTCATTCCAGAGTAGTGAAATCACTGGAATTTTTGTTGATGGTAGAAAAGATTAAGATTTCATTTTTATCCAAGATAAGACCACAAGCAACTTCAGTAAAAAAGTTATCTAAGAAAATCATATAACTGTGACAGAAGAGTCTAGAGGTTGCTAGCTTACTCTATATACACCAGAGCCTAAATCAAAAATATCTAAACCAGCCAAGTTATGTGCTATTAAGTTATCCTTAACCTTCAACTAATTGGAAAGTGACATTACAAACGAAATGTCTGGCTAGAATGCTTTTTTTTAAAGAAAACTTCTCAATCAAAAACTTTTTAGATTTCTTTGCTGGCTTTGCATTAATGATCTTCCATTCCATCATATTGTAATCTTGATCTTGAATCTGATAATGCATGATCTTAAGGATGTTTGCAATTTCGGTGACACAGGTCTATTTTCCAATGTTCTTTGAG